TTCCTTCCCCTCTGTGAAGCCTGAAGTCAACCAAAGGGCTAATGATAACCATCGAGACGCCTGCCATTTGATATAAATAACTTCACTCTGCCTTGTAATTGGGCCAGTGAATGTGTTTTTTCATTGTACTTATCGCGGTTCCCATGCCCACTGTGATCCGCGCTCACTCGATCTCTCGCCGCATACATCCCCCCCATCGCTGTTATACACTGCAATTAGGACAACAATCAAATCTTGAATTGCTAATTTGAAAAGACCGATCATCCTACATTCAACTGACTCAAGTCACTGGAACTTGGGTCTAGAGAAGTGCTATCAAAAAGTCACTATTTCTCGATTGGTCCACTCTTTCAAATACACTAGAATTATTTGCATATTCACAATTCCTGACAACCTCGAAAAAAGTTTAAGTGCACTTACCATCAGCAGTTCGAAAGAATGAGAGTGAGGATAGTGGACTGCGTCCGTGTCGATTCTGAGCACTCATAAGAAGGAAATATGGCTGTCCGGTTCGAAGATGATGCACCACGGTGGAGTTTTGACCACCAGGAATGGAATGCTCACTCCACCTTCGTTGCTTATGCATGGCATTCAGTGCTGTCTCGGAATTACTACTCCGTCGGGATGATGTAAATTCGTCGGCTGGTGTGAGGTAGACGTGGTAGATGCCTCGTGGACCCACGGTTGGAACGGAGTGCCAGGTGACGAGGATACTGGCGCTGCCAGTGTCCTCTCTTTTACTATTTCGAATGCCGTTGGAAAGAGAATCTGCTGATGGCAAAGACGGGTAGCCAGACATTACTGCACTGATTGTGATATTCTGTGGTGGTGTTTCAGGACCTAGAAAGTCATATGTTGAAGGTATTATTGCGGCAGCTACAAAAGACACTCATTTCCATGGAATTCCAAAATTATTACATTAAGTTTGATTAAGCTTTCGGTAGGAATCTACTGGTATTAAATATAATAATGCATATTTGTCAAATGCCCATCCGTGTAGGGTTGAAATTTGAGGGGAGAGCCAAGTGGGTGTGCGATAGACTTACCTCCACGTGGTGCACCCTGGAAATATGCCTTCACTATCAACATCTTATTTGGAAGCGGAGGGGTGTGTGCGATAGACTTACCTCCACGTGGTGCACCCTGGACAGCGTGCGATAGACTTACCTCCACGTGGTGCACCCTGGGCAACTTATACTCATACGGCAAAAAGGTCAATATACTAGCAGTTGACCTCTGACCTCAAGCTACAATGGCCCCTATGTATGTCATACTCTACCACTTCCACAGTACTCATCTCTCTTTTTTCCCTGCCTTTGTGTCTGTCTATCTCTTTTGTATTTTTGAGTCACTGTTCTGCTAAAGCCTGAAGTCAACTAAGAAGCTAATGATAACTATCATAACGCCTGCCATTTGATATAAATAAATAAATATTCGTCAAATGTGTCAAGCGATGATATGGCGATTTTGCACTCAGATATTTGAGATAATTCGATTGTTTTTTTCTCCTAGTATCCAATATTTGCCTTGTTTACGGCTATTTTTCTCGTTAATTTACATTAGCATCGTTTAGTATTCTGCATGAGTAATGATATACCGCACTAACGGTTATTTATCCCATTATTTACGAAGCATTGCGCGATAGACTTACCTTCACGTGGTGCACCCTGGGCAACGTATAATCATACTGCAAATAAGTCTATTAACTGGCAGTTGACTTCTGACTTCAAACTACCATCACCTCACTGTATATCATATACGACTGCTTCCACAGCACTCATCTCACCTTTTTTCTACTTTTGTGTTTGTCTCTTACATCTTTGAAACACTCTTCTGTTCCCCCCTCCCTCTC